CTTCTTAGTTTGTCTTCGTCTGGAAGCTCATCTGAAACCTGTCCACCATGGGTAACTCTGTTGGTATTTAAAATACTGGTGGCATAGCTTTCAGAATCACAGTAACTCACAAGCCACTACAGTATGACAATCTGACAGATGACTGGCGGCACCCCCAGTTAGTTGATGAGAAATCACACTTCGTGGCATAGGTGGCAAAGCTGGGCTTTGAGAAGCCTGCATTCCTCCTCTATGTCACCTTTGATGCAAGGACCTTTATGGGAATAGACGCTAAGTGCGGGATGCTGGGAATTTAAGAATATGAGACGCCCAGGCCCTGCTTTGGTGGACTCAACAAGTCCTGATTTGGACTTTTAGCCTCCAGAAGTATGAGGCAATAAACTCTGATCTATGAACCCACCTACTTGTGGATTTGTGTCACCAAAAAAAAAAAAAAGGGAGAAACTGAATAACTAAACTTGCTGCCAATGTGCCAATTCTGACTCCTGACACCTTGGGTACCCCAGAGTAGACCTGCTCTGTATGGGTTTCTTGGCTGTAATCTTTATGGAAGCAGATCACCAGGCCTTTCTTGCTTGGTACAGCTACATGCGTTTTAACTGCGAACCTTAAGTTAGTAGTTAGGACCATACTGTTTGTACCACCTAGGCCCTGTGGAAACAGAAACAATACCCATAAAAAGAAAAAACAAAACACTGACCAGAGAAACAGTGAAACATGTAGTTGTTTTCTGGCTCTGCTGTGAGTAATGTCACAAAGTTGACTATATTATATTTATATTATACTATTCCTTTTCACACTACTGTGCAAATAGGGTTTGTTTCTTCTTAACAATGGTGTGTCCTAAGATGGAGAAAATTAATAAAATTTTTAAAGTGCAGCTAATTTTAACTTACCTCCTTTTGATAGGCTAGTCCAGCTTCATAAAGTTTAATAAAGAGGTACTGAGTCCATTTGTAGTAGTCTGGCAAACATGTAGCTATTTCCTGCCAAAAAAAAAGCAGGGGGAAAAAGGCACATAAACATTTTTCCCCATGTATGCAACTCAATTTTGAAAAGCACTCAAAGCACAAAAAGATTTACCAATCTCTAATAATTTACTACCAATTCTTAAAGTGAAAAAAGTACTTTATTTTGGGAAAAGAGATGTGACTGAAATGCTATCCCATCTTCCCCAGGGCATGTTCAGTGATGAGAAACTCAATTTCAAGCATTCTGCTCATGCCTCCTACAATGCAACTAATAAATACATGTCAGTCTAAGTGATTGAGTGTTGCATTATGGTCAGCATATTTAGGGGCCCGTTGTTATGTGCTGTGGAGTCAGTTCCGACTCATAGCAACCCTAACAGGGTTTCTGAGACTGTAAATCTTTACGGGAGCAGATCGCCTCATCTTTCTCCCGCGGAACCGCTGGTAGTTTAGGGGCCCATTAAGCTAATTAAAAAATGTAGCTCATTTTAAAAACTAAAAAAACCCAAAAATCCATTTTTGCTGTTGATGAGAATATACACAGCAGAATATACACCGATTTACCATTTTCTACATGTACATGTCAGCGTCATTGATTACATTCTTTGAGTTGTGCAACCATCCTTTTTCTGAGGTTCCTCCCCCACTGACATACACTCAATTGGCCCCTTAAGGTTCATTACCTAATCTTTCCAGTTGCTGTTGTTAATGTGATCCTGTACGGATAGTTCTTAAAAGAGCATGATACTCAAGGTTTTAAGGTGACGTTGAGGAATATTTTTAGATTAAGGTTTAAACATTACCTCAGGGCAATAGTTTAGGAATTCAATGCAACCTCCATGGATCTAGAAAGAAGAGCCCATGAACAGAAAGAAATTCTATTCTTCATTTTCTCCCCTTTGATCAGGATTCTGCAATGGAATCTTTGATCAAAACATTTAGTAATGGTAGCCGGGTACCATACAGTTCTTCTGATCTCTTGACAAAGGAAGCAGCTGGACTCAATATATTCCATTGATTTCATTATGTGAATTAGGCCATCATCTTCTTAGTATGATCCATGAAAAACATTATCACATAATAAACTTAGTGAGCAATCACTTGCTTTGTATTTCTAAGCCTAAATCAGATGGTTTCAAATTTTACTGTCTGTCCTGAAAACGCATTTGCTACAGAATCTTTAAAAACAGATACCGAGGAACATCCATATAATGTTTACAGCTGATGAAAGACAAGTGCGGGGAAAACTGCCTGCATTGTCATGTTGTGTTTGTCCTGGTGCTCTTCTTTAACTTCAAACATCTGTGTTTCACTTAGACATAGGACAGTGACAGGGTTCCATTTGTAATGGACATTTGTTAGAAAGTAATTCTACCAAAAGTACAAACAAATCAGCCTTTCTTCAGACTATAAATAAATGAAGAGAGAGCCTATAAACCGCAGTATGAGAGGGCTTATGGGGTAGGAATCAAGAAAGGGAGGAAGGTGTCAGATAAATGTTCCCAGTAGATTTATTTTTCTTATATAGGGTTTTCCTAGGTCCTTTTATGGACTGTTTTTATAAAAACAGCAGAGTAATAACTATTAGGAAACAAGTTTTATGAGTGCCAACTCTGATCTCTGTTTCACTTGTCCCCTGCAAGGCAGGTATTGGTACGCAACCAGTCAAATAGCTTGACCACACTGTAGCTGCCCCCCAGGATGCTGGTCCCATGCAATGCTATAGCTTCTAAGCCACACACACAGCACAGTCTCTATCTGCTTCTGTAGGTTCCACAGGCACTCAGCCTGCAAGATCATCCGGCACCAAGAACCCCAGCAACTCAAAAGTCAGACCAGCATACTATGAAGGGAATGCCCCCCAATCTCCAAGCCCATCCTCATCCCACCATCTCTTCCTTGGCAGCCACTTCTGCAGGCACAGGCTGACTCTCAGCACAGGGCTTGTTTTCCTCAGTTTTCCAGACAAGCAACTTAAAAACCTCTTTTTCTAACAAGACAGGTCTGTTCCACTTTACTCACCATTATATGCTAAGATTCTTGCCGTAGGAGGTATCCCAAAGTTGTTGTTGAGTGAAGGACAAACCAAGGAAAAATGATATAGCTTCACAAAGATTGTGAGAAAATGGAATTGAAAGATAACAGATTTTTTCCAAGACCTTTCTGAAGCCCCCCTCATACATGGAGGCCTGAAAGCTAGATCCAATTTGCATCCCACATGTAGGTTTCACAGCTTAAATGCAAATTACATTCTGGTCCCAAGATGAACTGGGATAAGGAATGGGGTGAAAAGTGTGGGCAGAATATGTGCTTTAATAAAACAAGTTCTCATCCATTAGAGCTTTAAAGAACTGTGTGAGAGAAATATGACAAAATAATGACAACTGTTACAGCTGGGGGATAGGATCACCTCATTTGCTTCTCTGTATTTTGTGCATATTCAATTTTTTCCATAATAAAAAATCAGAACACTCCTAAAGAATATATATATGCATATATTTTCTCAGTCATGAATCTGCTTCCATAGATGGAGACTAAAAATTACGTAGTAATGGTACAGTGGTAACAGAGCCGGTCACAGAAGAAGAAAAAAAACTCTAGACGTGTGGCTGTGAGGGAAAGGGTGGGCACAGGGGGGAACCAAGCCCGCTCTTTCACCCTGCTCCAGATGTGGATCTGACCTGCTTTATTAATACTGGGTTTCTGCACGTGTCATTGGAAAAGAAAGTACCATCACCTACGAAAAAAATCCAGCTAGAAAAACCCCAGGTCCAGGGCCATTATTCCAATCAATATGGTTTTATGGGAATGGAAACTCCCAGCACGAGCACAGGAAAGACCGACTCCTGTCCATCATGCTTACATGCCCTGAGTGTAGGTTGTGCTCCTGGCCATTTCATGCCCATCCAGAGCTGCACACAGGGCCCAGCCATGGATCCTCAAGACAAAGAACTGCCAGAGCAGGTGCTCACAAGGTAGCCCAGTAGTGCTCTGCTCCCAAATACCTTTCCTTGGAAGAGTCAGAGAACCCTTCTGGAGTCTCCCCAGTGTGCCAATTTAAAGAATCAGCTATTTCTAGTCTCCTAATCCACTGGACTGGTATGGCACTGTGGGTTAATGCATCAGACTGTAAAGCAATTTGAATGGCAAGGTCAGTGGTTCAAGCTCACCGGCTGCTCCTCAGAAACCCTATACAGGGTCGCAATCAACTTGACGGCACTTAACAACAACAACAATCCGCTGGACTGGAGTCCTAGTGTGGTGCTGTAGGGTACACACTATACCCCAAGGTCAGTTTGAACCATAAGGTCAGTAGATCAAACTTGCTAGCTGCTCTTCAGGAACCCTAAACAGAGTTGCTATGAGTTGGAACCAACTCTGTGGCACTTGACAACAACAAATGCAACAGCTAGTAACAGCAAGGTTGGCAGTTCAAACCCACCAGCTGCTCTTCAGAAACCCTCTAAGTTGGAATTGACTCCACAGTGCTTAACAACAAGAATGCCTCATATCTTAGTCAAAATCATAAGATATCTTCCTAAAATTAAAAGCTTTTCTGCTTAAAAGCTTTTTGTCAACAGGTGTCATGTTTTTGTTGGGGACTACTTACTCAAAACCTAGTCTTCTAGACAGGGCCTTCAAGGGTTTCAGCAGGCAGAGAGCCTTTCTATAAAGCAGGGTTCTCAACTGGGCCAAGTTTGACTCCCCCAATACCTAGCACAGCCGAAGGGGGTGGTGGTGCTAGTGGCACCTAGCAAGCAGGGGACAGATATGCTGCTCAATAGCCCACAAAGCACAGAACAATCACACACAGTAAAGAACTACCCAAGACTGAAAAACTCTGCTCCAAGGGTTTAGATCTTTAAGTATGAAACACTGTAACCACAGTCAGATTAAAGGGGTTAGCCACAAAAAGCTATAGATTAGATGAAACACAGTGGGGCAAAGAGGAACATGGTTGCTGGGTACCCTTCTCCAGCTGGACAGCCCCAACTCCACTGAGCGTGTCTTGCCAGTACACACGGGAAACCTGTCCAATGCAACCACAGGCCTTCCTACCAGCACTGCCGAGAATCAAGCAGAGGCTGAAGATGGCGGCAGATGAGATTCTGAAACTGTAGGGCAGGCTATAATGCTGACCACTGGAAATGACTGAGTGATTTATGATCTACAGTTTAAATTATAGGCTTTAAATAATAGGCATCCAAGAAGTTGTCTGCCTTGGAAAATTGCATGCAATATATTCTTTCTTTTTTTTTTTTGCATGCAATATGTTCTTTTTTTTTTTTTACTTGCAATATATTCTTGAAAGAAATGTCCTGTTTTGAAGTTAAAGAGGCACATTAGTTTATCCCCTCCAATAGCTGTTGAGCAAATAAACATTGAAAGACCATCAGCTGATTGTTCAAACCCAGCCTTACATGTGACCTGGGTATGGGGGTGGAGGGAGCCCTATGTACTAACTTCAGTAAGACTTCTCAGTGTGACCACCTGGGAAATCAAATGAAAGCTCTTCATGTACTCCAAAAGCCAGCTTCATCCTATGCTTTCCTTTGCCTTGCTTTCCAAATAAGCCAACACCTACGTTAATGCAACCTTAATGCAGAAAGTCAGGTAATTCAACGTTACAGCTCCAAAAGCAACTGTAATTCAGGCACAATCCACCAATCTTTATAGATCTGTATAAATGTGTCAACTTTTATATCCCTCTGAGCCCTAGGAAGTGCAATCTAACTGCCAAGAGGCAGGATTTACACACCTGGGATCTCACTAGAAGCCCTTCCTCCACCTTGCAGTTCCACATTCTATAAAATCTGGCTTTTCATATTAAAAATAGTTTGCACACTTACAGTCAAACACTGAGCCCAACACAGAAGGCGAATTCCCTCAGAACACAGTATGGCTCAGGACCTCATCCTTTAAGACCTGTCGCCCATACCTCCATGACTGCACAAATTAGTAACACAGCCTGCTTTGTCCCGTGGCACAGTGACTTGGTATTGGCAAAGTCCTAG